AGAAAACGAGCAAGATGAACAGGTAGCGATCAGTTTTGAAGCAAAAAAGAAAGCAGAAACTTTCACGATGCGATAAAGAAAAGAGCTCTTTAGGAAAACAATCAACTATATACAGAACAAAACTTTTTTTTTTTTCCAGAACAAAATTGGAAAGATTGTAAAAAATGGCGAAAAAGTCGCATCCCAATTTATTGAAGTGCTAACACTCGTATGTTAGGCTATCAGTATTCAAGCTTACATAAATTACAAAGGCGTTCCACTAGCATATATCGCTCGTGCCAGTGCCTTATCGTGCTTGCTTGGGCATTCGGGAATAATCCTGTCAACAAATGCTTCCATAGAAGTATGCTGGTATAAACGTGCCAGTCAGCTTCTTCTATATTCTTGCTTTCATTTTCGGACGATGGGCGCTCTAATCGCACAACTTCAACAGATGGGCTTGTGGTAGCAACATACGCCATACTCCGATCTTGACAAATCGTCCGATGCTGCTTATGTTCTTGGAGCACTTCGGACACTTTGCGATGTGACGCCGCAAGCGGGTTGCGTTTGGAAATTCGTACTTAGCCTTTAAAAAGTGATACCGCCGAAAATAGAGACAAGGACGAAGACGAAATGAACCAACACAAGGCGCACTTGCAACTGTTGTTTATTCGAAAAAAAAAAAAAAAAAAACATCTATAATATAGGCCCACAACAACGTGTCATTCATCACCGTGTCGATGCAAAGCTTGTCCTAATATATTCGAATTCTTTCTTCGATAGGGCAAGTGACGGTATTGCTTTTTGCTGGGACAAGCTTTGCATCGACACGGTGATGAATGACACGTGTTTTTTTCTCTCTCAAATAAACAACAGTTATAGTTGTACTTAGCACAACAAAATCCACACGCAGCTAGTGTGGCCGCAGAAAACACAGCGAATCCGACTCCTCAGACCTAGCAAGAACCACTTCTGCCTTTATTCACGTTTTAACCTACCGCTTAATAAATAAAAAAAAAAAAAAAGAGAGAGAGAGAGAGACAGTTTTGTTGAACAAGTTATGAAATGTGAATTTCGGGCGGCGGCTAGAGTTTTTCTTTCGGGAAGTTATCTAGTGTGATTGCAAAAGGAGGTTAGAAGTTTAGAAGTACTAGGAGAGGGCACGTTGCAATATTGGTGAAGCCTAGTCATAAAAATTTTTAACGATGTTGTGGCCAACGTGACCATAGATCTCTCTGGCTATTGGTGCGCGTGACATGTCACGTGTGGGATGGACTGTTGATTGTAGAAGGACTCCTTGCAGGCTTGCGCGCGCTCCGTCCGGTAGGTTTTATCAGATCGAAGGCTATAGCCTGTTGTGTATTCTAGTACCCCATAGCTAGACGAAGGCTAGCTACGCTCACGTGATGTGGTCACCTTCGCGTGGTGAGTGAGGAGAGTAAGGAGGAAAATGAGAAAAAGGCGAGGCGTCAAGGGAGCATGGCTTGTGGAGGCTACACGGCTGTCGTCATGCCCTCTCCTACGCTTCTATCCTCCTTGGGTGGCACCATCTGGGAACGGCAAATTAACAGCTCTGGTCAATGGAATTTTCGGTAATCTTCAATCCTTTTTTTTTCGGCTTTTAAAATATCAGGAAATGTAACATCTCCATCTATTACGCATGTTTGTTTTCGCAGGCGCAGCACAAAATGAAAACAAGCGAGTTGCAGACGAAATGGGACCGGCTCGAAACAGAAGAAGTAAAAAAAAAAAAAAAAAAAAGCGAAACAACGCAATACAAGCATCTCAAAAGAAATTCGACGGCTCGACCGTTGCCTTAAAAAAAAAAAAAAAAAAAAAAAAAAAAAAAGCTTTAGATTTTGTTGTTTTCGTCCGTTTTTTTTTATCGTTCCCCATCTCAGGGTTTACAAGATGTCGAGTGAAAAGATAAACAGGAAAACAAGGAAACGGAAAGACGCAGCTGCACGTGCAGTGGGGGGAAGAAACCACCCCCAGATACCTAGCAATCTGCGCCCTGGGAGCTGTCCGTGACTTTCGGCGGCGTCTTTAGGAAGACCGCCATCTAGCCCGTCCATTGAGACGTACGGAGTTTGCAAACCCACCCTCCTTTTTTTTTTTTTTTTTTCTTTTTTGTCCGTTTGTCCATTAGTGTTATTGCTTTTCGGTTGTTAAAACATATATTCCAGTTAAGGCCTGACCACACTAGCGTGAACGGCGCCGTCGGGCGGCTCGATACGCTCCCCCGAAGGGGGAGCAGAGTTGCGCATTTGATTTCCCCGCGCCGCCACGCCGCTATTCGCCCAGATCCATCACGTGAGGAGCAAAGCATCCGGTGGCGTCCAAAAAAGCCACCTTTACGTTCGCTCCGCCGACGTTTCTCGCGCCCCGGCGTATGTTTCCCTGCTTTCCGCCTCCTTTTCCTCCTCTCCTGTTTTCCACGCGCGGCGGCGCGCGCGGCGCCGCTATTCGCCAAATTTAGTCACGTGAGGAGCAAAGAATCCAGGGCGTGTGGGAAAGCCGGCGCTTCGGCCACTCGCCGAGGCTGAATGCGCAACTCTGCTACCGTAGGTAGCTATATACAGGAACTCTAGCATCGCCTAAAGTCCCTTGAAACGAAAAACTATCCATGGACGTTACGCTAGGCGGTCTGAAGTGAGTGAGGGGTGGTACCCCTCTCCGCGGGAGTTCCACAACTGAGGTAATCTAACGTTGCCCTTGCCTACCCATGACGTCACTTTTTCATTGTTGCCAGTAGAGCTTTTCACTTTGAAAAACACGATGAGGACCAAAATTGTAAATTGCGTAACTTCGCGAAAAAAAGTTATTTTGTCCAAATATTTGGGTTACTAGTTCAGCGATGTCGTTGGTGTTTTTAGCAAGTTTTTAGGCAGATCGGAGATTATGAAGAAAACGGCGCAGTACCCCTTTAAAGGGATGCTACAACGAAATTTCGTCGCTCATTTTTTAGTCTATATGTGTTCAAAGGAGCAGCATCAGATCGAACATACCAATATCTTGTTAAAAAAGTCACGAAAAGGAATTTTAAAACGAATTATATGATTAGCAAAGAGCACCTGGTGGATGTCGCTAACACCTCGCTTGTAATGCCCGTCTAGGAACCTTGACAGCTAGTGACGGAGGTTCCCAGGCAGCACCGACACGTCGAAAGAACGTCGTAAGAACGTCGACAACTTCCGCGACCCGACGTCGAGAAAACGTTGGAAGTTTGGACGTCACGTCTCTTCGACGTAAAAAGGAAAGCCTAATGTCTGGCCAAAAAGGTCGATTTAACGTCGACATGACGTCCTAATGAACGTCTATGGAACGTTGAGTCCACTTTCCGAGGCAGCACAGACACGTCGAAAGGACGTCGAAAGAACGTCAATAACTACAGCGACGACGTCGAGAGGAAGTTTAGTGTTTTGACGTCACGTCCAATCGACGTAAAAGAGAGGCCGAATATTCGACCAAGAAGGTTCATTTAACGTCGACATGGCGTCCTAATGGACGTCTATGGATCGTCGTGTCCACTCTCTGAGGCAACACAAACACGTCGAAAGGACGTCGAAAGAACATGAACAACTACAGCGACAACGTCGAGAGGAAGTTTAATGTTTTGACGTCACGTCGAATTGACGTAAAAGGGAGGCCAAATATTCGACCAAGAAGGTTGATTTAACGTCGACATGACGTCCTAATGGACGTCTATGGAACGTTGAGTCCACTTTCCGAGGCAGCACAGACACGTCGAAAGGACGTCGAAAGAACGTCAATAACTACAGCGACGACGTCGAGAGGAAGTTTAGTGTTTTGACGTCACGTCCAATCGACGTAAAAGAGAGGCCGAATATTCGACCAAGAAGGTTCATTTAACGTCGACATGGCGTCCTAATGGACGTCTATGGATCGTCGTGTCCACTCTCTGAGGCAACACAAACACGTCGAAAGGACGTCGAAAGAACATGAACAACTACAGCGACAACGTCGAGAGGAAGTTTAATGTTTTGACGTCACGTCGAATTGACGTAAAAGGGAGGCCAAATATTCGACCAAGAAGGTCGATTTAACGTCGACATGACGTCCTAATGAACGTCTATGGAACGTTGAGTCCACTTTCCGAGGCAGCACAGACACGTCGAAAGGACGTCGAAAGAACGTCAATAACTACAGCGACGACGTCGAGAGGAAGTTTAGTGTTTTGACGTCACGTCCAATCGACGTAAAAGAGAGGCCGAATATTCGACCAAGAAGGTTCATTTAACGTCGACATGGCGTCCTAATGGACGTCTATGGATCGTCGTGTCCACTCTCTGAGGCAACACAAACACGTCGAAAGGACGTCGAAAGAACATGAACAACTACAGCGACAACGTCGAGAGGAAGTTTAATGTTTTGACGTCACGTCGAATTGACGTAAAAGGGAGGCCAAATATTCGACCAAGAAGGTTGATTTAACGTCGACATGGCGTCCTAATGGACGTCTATGGATCGTCGTGTCCACTTTCTGAGGCAGCACAAACACGTCGAAAGGACATCGAAAAAACCTCAATAACTGCAGCGACAACGTCGAAAGGACGTTTAATGTTTGGACGTCAAGTCCAATCGACGTAAAATTGGAGGCCGAATATCGACCAAAAGGGTCGATTTAACGTCTGCACGGCGTTCCATATGACTTCTATGAAACGTCAAGTGCACGTCTGAATTACACGAGATCTCAATTAATGGCGAATTACACGAGATCTCAATTAATGGCGTTAAGTCAACGCTTCGAAAACGTATATTTATATTATATTATTTCACCTTCTCTACGTTATATTATTTACGTTATATTATTTCACCTTCTTGCATGCAGAACGTACACTCTAGGCCTACAAAACTTCTGAAACAGCATCTGTTCGACAGGTTTAGGACATCTTAATTATGCTACATGTCTTCATTAGATTACCTCTTTCACTACAAATAAGGAAGCTGTACCGGAGGAGCAATGAAAAAAAATAAACGAAGGATCTAAACAGTGGTTCCAATTGATCAGCATTTTATTGCTCTGTACAAAAACATTGCTTTGTTACAAAATCAGCGATCGCCTTCCAGGGGAGAGGGAGCTCTGGAGCCCTCCATCGCAGTCCCAGCCTGAAAAAAAGGGATGAAAGAAAAATTTGAGGAAGTATAATGATGCAAGGCGTCGCAAAAAGCCGATCGGACATATCAAATTATAAGGCGTATGGGGCAAAGTTAAGAGTGATTGGAAAGTTATCATATTACGGTGAAACCTAAAGAATAAATAACTGTATGCGAGGCCAGTGCAACGAGGTCCCTACCTTTTTTTGCTTCTGCTCCACTCGCTGACGCGCATGCTTCATCCAGCCCATCGTGGTGACTTGGAAGTCCTTCTTTGTTATGGCTCCAGTGGCGGTGACAGCGTCTGAAAAAAGAACATAAAATGAATGAAAAATCGGACAATAAAATCAGCAGTGTTACCCACCATATAAGACGCTAGCAAGTTGCAGTGTGCCAAACTGCACCTTTCCTTTGGCTCCAAACCAGCTATACTGGGACGCCAATTCGTCCGTCAGGGTGGCACGTAGAACGCGGACAGCGGCTTCACGCGTCGTATTGCCTCCAATCTTGGACAGCCATTCAACCTGAGCAAGACGAAACAAAGAATAGAATTGCAAAAAAAAAAAAAAAAATTCTAGAGTAGCATGCGATGAAACACATCCCCGAAAAATGGCCCTCGAGTAAACCAACAGTCTTACAAGAGTTTGGCGGTAGCCTCCTTCAACAATCCGGGACTCTAGAGCCGCCACATCGTCCTTGTTACGAAGAGGGAAGGCTGGCGTCTCCGCAGGTGGCAAGCAGGAGTTCTGGGCTGGTGGTCGTCGCTCCGATTCCTGGAGAGCCTGGATCCTTGCCTTGATCTCTGTCACGTCGGTCTTCAGTTTGAGCAGCTCTCGTAGGATCACGTGTGATATATCTGAAAATAGACATGTGTAAGATGATAACTGGAGGAAAGCGTCTAAAAATCAGTAGCGCGCGATTGTCGGTAGTTTGGTTCATCTGTCAAAATTATATTCCTTCACCGCTTGACTAGAAGGTTTAAAATAGCACTTAAATAGGCTCATACAGTGGAAGCCAGTTGCACTAGGGCGATGTCATAGGTTTAGAAACACTATAGTTTGGCCGGTGTTGACGGAAAAGCATTTCAAACTAATTCGATTATTTTGATTCTGGAGCCCTCAAAGTTTTTTCTCTAAATAAAATTAGAAAATAGCGTCGCAAACTCGAAATGCATGACGATTATAAGTGCCTTTTTTAACGAAAATAGCACGCCCTCGGCTGTGTCTACTCCACAACTCGCAATGGCAAACCTTGTGAGGGGTTTCTGTAATGACTGCAGCCAGGCCGCTGCCCATGATCAGCAACTGTGGAGACGTTCCTCCTGAACACACAAAAAAACAAAGTTTTGCATGACAGTCTGGTGAAGATTTAGTCAAGATAAAAATTGCGAAATAGCAAACGATTGCATGCAAATCAGTGCCTTTCGTTGAAACGCGAGGCACACGTTCTAAAAATGCATCCGATCCGATGTCCGACGCAGCGGTACGACGTCCGAATTTGAGTTTTCCCGTATCAGAACGGGCGAACAGCCCTCCAACGTGCGACCGACATGCTAGATCACACGTTTTTTGTTGTTTTTTTGTCGTTCTAACGCGTGTATGTCTCGCGCTTAACATGGAACTTTCAGCTACGTAACCATATATTACTAAGCACACAGTGAACACCCCATGTTTCCGTTTAATGCCCGTGGCTTACTCTGCATCCGGAAATGGTGGCAGACAACCACGCTCCAAGGATTCATCCATGGAAGCATCCATAGGACGCAACGGAACGATGTCGTCCACCTCGCTCTCCGACGTCAGTTGCGCCGTGCGGGTTAATTTTTCACATTTGTGCACTGCTGTCGCGTAGTCGGCTGGAGAAAAAAAGACATGAAGCAAAAATGGGTAAATATCTGTTTGGATTTTCAACATCAGGGAGAGGATGACATTCAGTTTGGGCTTACTTGCAGTGCATAGAATTGAAACATTATGCAGGGTCCACTCAGCTGGGTCTGGTGCCGCACACGTAACAGCTGCCGCCTGGAGCAGCCTCGTGTTCGAGTACGGGGGCCAGAAGCATTTTCCATTTTTCAACCATGTGCTAGGCACGACGTCGATCGACTTCAGGCTACCATTCGGAGAGTCCACGAAGTCCACAACACTGTACATGCTGATATAAAAATACGAGTTTTCTGTGAATATGGTTATCCAGTGATACGTTAAACAGTATACGTCAACTTTGCGGATAGTTTGCGCTGGAGTATTTTGTTTTCCGGCAAGCTCGGTCTCGACTTCAATAAAGCTTTTCAGAAAATTGAGAACGACACAATATCATGAAGTAATGTTCATGATATTTAATTGTTAAATTAAACCCTGTAATGTTTATAGAAATTTAAGAAGTGCTATAAAAGTCGCGGGAGGGTATACTATCCCGTAGACGACTGTGTTCTTTTTTTTTCTTTTACACTGCTTGTTAACAATTAGAACCGAGCTAATTTTGTAATGCGAGACACCAAAGCAATTTGTTTTGTAAAAATTTTTCGACCCAAAATGCTAGAACGTAATTTGAATAACGCAGAATGGGCTTACCTCAAGAAGGTCGGCTTATTCTCAACGCAACGACAGTCGAACTGGCAGTGACAGTGCGCGTCGTGGAATCACCGATGAGTGAAGATATGGTCCCCGATTGACAGAACCAAAGCGGATGTGCACCGATTTTAGCTTTCAAGGAAGGGCACGAAACCCAACAAAGACCTTCTCTTCTTTCACCCGGACGAAGGGAAACAGGATACAACGGGCGGACTGCCTGGAATTTTTTTTTTTTTTTTTTTGTTACGGTGTGGTTAGGCTAAGTGTTTCATGGCCATTCTTAAGTCTTCTGAGAATAATGTAAAAAGTGTCTACAACACGAGTTTTACTTTAACCGGTGAAGGAAACTAAAGTGGAATGGAGGGGACTTGAAAAAAATGTGACTATAGCCGAACTGCGGGTATTAGCGATAGGTGATGCCCTGTAAAATAAATAGGTAACAATTTAGAGCGGACTGTTTATTTATTTGATACCTACATGGCCCGATGGGCATTACAGGAGGAGGGGACGAAAGAAATTTACAAAAGCAAACGTACAGCAGAACAGCAACAACAAATAACAAGGCAAGCAGGAGAAACATGTATACTGCAATAATATAAGAAAATGAATAACAGCAACATAACCATGTCAAACAGGAGAAACATGCCAATATATACTGCAATAATATGAAACAGAAAATGATTAACAGCGTGCAGAAGTCACAAAAAAAACATCGAACCGACTACAATAACATAATTTCATCAAAAAAAAAAAAATGATCGTACAGTAAGAAGCTCTGCAAGTGAGTCGGGCAGCACATTCCAGTCATTAACTGTCCGCGGAAAACTGTCCGCGGACTGTTGACTATTCGCATAATTACATAAATATTGTGATGCTGGGGACGCAACAAGCAAAGTTTGACAGTGAGGGGTGATGCAGTTGGTCACAGATTAACGTTAGTCGGAAACTCGTTCGAGTGAATTATAGGTAGGACGACAAAAGACGCATTTTTGTGCGGAAGCATCACACACTTGCATGACACTTTTTCAAGTGGCCAGTGTGCCAAGACCGAGAGAGCAGAAACAACATGGACATTCAACTTCGATGACAGACACGGTGTCGCAAATAAAGATTTTTTTGTAGCAAACTTCTTTCCAACAATCATGCACTTGCCGCTGCTGTCTTTTATGATGTTCTGAATCATAACGACATTATCTGAAACCATGCATACATTATTTCCCTTGCAAGTGCTCAAGGTGAAATTAGAGAATTCAACTTTTTTGAACTGTGCCTGTGATGACAGGAGAATGGGTCCCTCGGAATGTTCACCTTTAAGAATGTAGTCACCACTTTCTATGTCGGGAGACGACGACATTCCCATTGTGCGGTTGACCTTCATTTCATGTAGCCTTCTGCTTAGCTGCTGTAGGGGACGGTTGCCTGGTTGCAAGAAACATTTGAGCCGATGGAAATAATTTTCAAACTGAAATGCACTTACGTTATCGAGGCTACCAAACTTTTCAACGTCTTCTGCTACATGCAGGAGCCCGTGCACGTTGTATGAATAGTGTTCTTTACCGTAAAGTGCCCCGAATGTCTTTACAAAGTGGCTTAGGAGCGCTCCAGCATATTCTCGCATCTCTCGCGCTGCACACGTTTTTACTCCGACAAGCAGTCGAATGGCCACGTTAAGGAGAAGGAAGTGGCTGTAATACTTCTTATCAAGGTTGTTGAAAAGAACGATGGGGCCTGTGTAAAGCAGGAATTGGCGAAGCTCTGTCGCCTTCCACCTGTCAATATCATCCAAGCTTCGTGGTTTGCGAGCGAATTCACATGGAATGTATTCTGCGTAGCTTTCAAGCACCGCAGAGATGTGTTTTGCAGTAGATGGTGTTATTCTGCTCCCAAGACGCCCCCTCAACCACAATAGCATCAGCTTTTTTGTTACGCCTAGGCATATCAGATGCATATACTCAAATGGGAACTGGGTGACCAAGTTGAGTGGCAGTCTCACCAGAGGGGTGTCGTGAATGTTATGATCCCTGTCTGTCTTCTCCCGGAAATCTTTGTCCGTTCTTGGCTGGTGAGCTGAACCGAGAAGGCTGACCCGCCCATTCATGTATTCTCCTATAACTCGACATTTTCCGCAGGAAGAGTAGCCGCTATGGCCTTTAATGCCGAGCAAGAAAGCCCTTGCCGGGGCATCGCACACAAACGCCTTAATAAAAAAACTGTAGCGTCTTCCACCATGTTCAATTCCGTCCTTGAGGATTTCAGAAATATCGTCAACAAACTCGGACAAATACTCGCTTACACTGTGCGGCTTTGAAAAACCATGGAAGCAACCAACGATGAAGGGAGCACTATTTGTTATCTGAGGCATGCTGCACATGATTGGCCAGAACTGACTTTTTGAGCTGGAGGACAACGCGACACCATCCACATTGAAAATTAGTTCAAGATGAGCAGGTAGACGAGTTGACCCGTTCCCGGAGAGCACGTACGAAACGCCTTCACGCAAACCATAGTGAGCGTACGCACCACCTCCGATTATTCTTACGGGAGTTGTACGAGGACATGACCGCAACGTTCTCGCGTCTTTCGGCAGTCCGGAAAGGGACGGCACCTTACGGAGCGTTCGTAGAAGTGCAGATGTAGCATCCAATGGTATCTTGTAATGCGTCGACCAGGCTGATAACTCAGGCGCCAGAAATGCAACTTGATCATCTTCGCCAGGCGCTTTAATAGACGGACCGCATTCCTCTGCGATGTTTGGGGGTTCTGGAGTCACATCTTCAAGAGGTGTACTTAAAGCTGGTGAAGAGAACTCATTGCCGCTTTGACTTGAAAAATCAGTCTCTGCTACATCTGGAGGTAGGTCAGTTGAAAAATGATCGCCATTCTGATCAGCCAATAGCCCACCTTGTTGTTGAGGTTGGCTTCCTGGAACGCTAGTGGGGATGAACGCTTGAAGAAGATTTTCCAATTCGGATTTTACTCGGCGGCATTTCTGTCGCTGCCCAACCTCATCATACGGACGCTTTGGACGAGAGACCTTTGAGAGCATTGAAAAATATTCCGTCGTAGACAATCACAGAAAATCATTAGCTGCCGTCCGACTCCCCACAGCGTGTTTTTTTCCAAATAGTTCTCCGGGCGGAAAAGGACGATAAGAGATGGAAAGCAAGACTTGAGGGAAGGGGAACATTTTTTTTTTTCAAGAATGGAGAGGGAACGTTTTTTTTTTTTGTGTGTGTGTCAAGTTTGGGGCGAAACATAATCTCCCATACTCCGTTCACCCCTAAGCTTGCAGTTCGCTGGAGGCTACGTGTTCGCCAGACCAATCTTATCGCTTGACCTCGCTCAACGAACAGCAGTGCGCGGAGAGGGGAGTGGTCACATGGTTCGAGGCCGACAGTTGAGTGGTCCAACGAGCGTGCAGCTTCCACCGCACTGTCAGGTTAGGGGTGAACGGAGTATAGGACAAAAGCGATTTGAGGGGAGTCCTCCGGGCTCGGCGCCACAGTGACCCAACAGGATGTAGCGGTGTTTGCGGACAGAGGCAACCTTCAAACCCAAGATTTGCAAAAAAAAAAAAAAAAAAAAAAGAAGAAAAAGACGTGCATTCCTCAAAAGGTGACCCCGGAAACAAAATAAAATATGTTGCCCATCACCCCTTTGTTACCCTTCACAACGGGCAGAAACAGAGACGGAGATAAGCCAGGATCAATTAAGACGCTAGGCTTGATCGAGCTTGATCAAGATCGAGCAGGAAAGTTACTAATATAGTAGTCCGGGGACCGGGACACAGGAAAAAAAGGACAGTTAACTGGAATTATTTATTTATATTGTGAAAAATTAATTCGGTAACGCTAGTAATTTATCCTTTCGAATTTTAAGAAGCTGCCACTAAATGATTGATAAATTATTTTAGGCATATACTGAAATGTGTTCCGAAAGCTAAAAATCAAGTCAATGGAAAATAAACTGGCATATTATTCTGAACTAAATAAGGGAACAGTGTAAACGTGTCGACTCTGTCGTATTTCAGTCAGCCTTCATAGTTTGCGATTTCTTGGAGGCTGTTCCACGTTGCGAGTAAACTCACATAAAGAGGCCTGCCAGCATCTTTTTACTTTCAAGAATGGCACTCAGAATGAACCTGTGACGTTCGCGACCTATGGAACATGCATTAGTTTATTTCTGCACGTTATAACAGTAGCAAAACATTTAAACAAAACGTGTAGCGCCTCGAAAGCCCGTTGCTTGGAGAAAAACAAAAAAAAACTGCAAACAGGTTGTGACAATTCTTTTTTTTTTTTTTTTTTTGCTGCGATAGTTTGAAGTTTGACAGACTTGAACAAAAAACAAGAAAACGGCGAGGTTCTGACGTCCCTACTACCCATGAAGTC